CAGAATATGAAGAATATCAAAAAATTCAGGAGTCAGCTGTCAGCACAATTAGAGATAAGATATCAGAAAAATAACATACTCAGCAAAATATTGTCTAATTATCGTTATCGATAAAACCCCAGAAAATTATCGAGGTATAATTTTTTTGTCAATATCGCACACCCCTAATTTTCCATTTTCTTAAAAATGGTTTAAAGGCTGAAATGTAAAGTTTATGATTTTATCAAACAGTAATTTTACAGTTTAATATAGTACTATAGACATTGCCCTACCGCGCTCATATGGTATTAATTTTATTTGTGCAGGTCTTAAAAAGTCTTACATTTTTTAGCTTAAAAATCCTGCAGAAACCCTGCTTACGGCTGAATGATTTGAGTTTATTTCTCCGTGTTAGTCGCACCAGTTTGTGCGTGTGATTGTTTTGTAGGGTTGATGAGTTTAACCCCTTTATTGCTGATCTTTTTTTCATGACCGTTTAACCTTTTCAAACATGTTTGTGATTTTTCTGTGTTCACAAAGCACTACAGCAAAAGTGTCATGCCATTCTGATGAAGTAAAACATCCAAAATGCAAAGTGTTTCAGACTGACATGACCGAACAAAACCAGAGAGTTAAATAGTTAAGTGAAATAAATACTTCAGAGCCCATTGTTACTCTATTGATCTTCTCCCTCCAGACTGAACAAACTTCTGTATAAGCACAAGTTTGAAGAAGCAGAGAAATTCGCCAAAGCCTTTGGACTTGATGTTGAAGTAAGACCCTGGTAAAGTTGCCATGTAAACATCTAGTTTCTAAAAGAGTGTTGATGGTAAGCTGACGAGGTTTGTTTGTGTCTGTTGCAGCTAGTGTATAAGGTTAAGCTCAATGTTGTGCTGGAGAAGCTGATCTCAGCATCAGGCAGTGATCAAACCCTGGAGTGGCCCGAGCTCATCGAAGAGGCCAAGACCAACCTGATGAAGATCATGGTAATAATCCGCTTCACAGCATAATAATAATAACAATCTTAGCCTGTAAACACAAGTAAGCTTTCATTTCTGTATGTATAGTAATTATACATTCTATAATCATATTAAGAAATGATGGAGACTAAACATGCACGCTGGGCGATACAGAACAGGAGAGTGAAGCGTCACCATTGTTCAGAAAGTAATTTATGTGTCTGTGCAAGTAAATTAGTTCACTTTATTTTGTTAAATACGATCTGCAAAGTGTACAAGCTTAGGAAACAGTTTTAGCTATACTGAGATACTGGTTAGAAATGTAATAGCTGGTAAAAGGGGGAAAATATATGAATGAAGCATAAGCTAAATGTTGAGTAAGCGGTGTAAAATAATAATACAGTGAACCGAACACCACGAAGGTATCGATCTCGCCTCATTTAGAAGACCATTACTGTAATGACCAAATTATTGAAACGGTTGAGGTTTGGTGAACAACACAATTTAATCAGATTGCACTTTATGTTTGTCAGGTTCAAACCGTTGTTGCTCCTTTGAGCTCTCATATTCAGATCTCTCTTCATTACTTTTCAAATAAAATGATGATCAGTGCAGTCGTTTACTGTTAATTATGATGGCTTATGATTAATTTAATTCAAATGTCCCTTCCCTTAGGTCAAAGATGGATACCTGTAAGAGTGACAAACAAAATACTGATAAAAGCCCTTGAGTCTGGTGTTCATAAAAGACTGGAAGCCTATGGACTAAAGTCAAATAAGATGGCCATATAACTAACCCCTGTTTTGTCCTAAAGGGTCTTTCATTCTTTTATATACATGTATAAAGAGCCACGTTTTCATGGTGAAGTAGCAGCTCTGCAGAATAGAGTGTGTAAGCAGCACTTCTCTCTCGGGCTGTAATCACAGCTGGTTCAGCTGAACTCTGCACTGTGTGAATGTGTGTGTGTTTAACATGCAGTCTTCCGTGTGTCCCGCAGGACGAGCAGTTTGTGGTGCAGTACTGTCTGACTGCTTCTTGGCCTTCTCTGAGCATCGCTGAAGACATGTTGAGTTACACCTCGAACCGCTTCCCCTGCTGCCAGATCCAGACAGCCCTGGCTAAGCTCGCCACCTTCGCTAGCGTCTGTGGACCTGACCGCTTTGAGTACGTTCAGCAGACCAGTCTGTTTCTCAGTTATTACAGTCTAGGACATGGATTTGCTCCACCTCATCTCTTCACACTTTACTCACATTAATCACTTCATGTCATTAACAGGGGCATAGCATGGATCGAGTTCTTGAACAGTGTGGATTATCTCCGAGACATCCTTGCTCTTCTGAAAGAGGGCAATCTTAGTGGAGCACAGTACTTGTGGCTTCGACACGAGGTAAAGGAGTCGGTTCTCTTTATTCTCTTCTGTGGGGAACTGTGAGCTTCAAAGCGCTGTAGAAAGAGTCGTCTGTATGACAGCAGCTTTATATATAGACTGAAATGAAACGGTTCGAAGCCATTCCATGATTTAATGGCTTGAAACGATACAAAATGTCTTAATTCTAGCGCGTTATAATGTTCAGTATGTCGTGGGATCTGTAGAGGACAGATGTCGAATAATCATGCGTGACCTGCTGAAATGCATCAGCAAATTATTAAATGAAAGTTTCAAACCTTTCATTGTGACATTAATGTGACCAAAATATGTGTTAGAACTAGGCCTAGCCTATATCACTCATAATCTTCCTATTAACAATAAAGCCACCTTATATCATTTAATTTATTATTGTTATTATGGCATAAAGCACAGCTCTTTAACTGTAGTCTAAACATTCAAAGTTAATGCTGGCTGGTACTGTACAGTATAAAGCACTGCCGTCACTGTAATATTTCACTGTAACTGGTCTAATAGCTGGAACATTACACATTTAGGCTAAATGATAAATAATTCGAGATTAATTGTTATAATGGTTTATTAGCCTGTTATTGTAATATGACCGCTGATTTATTTCCTTAATTTGATCTTTGTTTACAAGTGAAAGTATCACAGTTCCAGCTTGAGAAGTGGTGTCAACCGTCCCTTTGTGAGTTTCACGTGTGACGGGGTTTTATTTAACGGCGGAGGTGACTACTGTAAATACTGTTCCCAGTAACAACAAACCGTTTAAAATTGTATGTAAATTATACATTTTAAGGAGCTCATTACAGGTTGGGGCTGCAATATAAAAATCATTATTGTCAGTTATTTCTCTTGATATCATAATAATGATTAATAGCAATTAATAGAATAAACATAAAAGGTTTTTGTGTTTAGAGAAATGACGTCATGATCTTGCTACACAAAAGTTCAGCGTATGCTGCCGTTATAATCCCTGAAGCTGTTTGTCTGCGAGCGCACGGAGTCGAGTCGTGTGTGAGCTAGGGCTGGACGATACGGCCAAAATTTATATCACGGTATATTTCTTAATTTCGGTCGATACGATATAATTCCGATATCGATATGAACACTATAAAAAAAAAAAAAAGCCTCATAAACACTGCCAAGAACACCCACAACAGATGTCTGTGCCTGCAAACTTCTGAAAAATTATTTTCCAAGTCTATGACACCTCCTATAAAACTATATAATATTTAAGAAAAAAAACCCAGCACAAATAAATTAATGTACACCTTATATCAAACTGTAGGCTGACATACACTACCAGTCAAAAGTTTTTGAACAGTAAGATTGTTCATGTTTTTAAAGAAGTCTCTTCTGCTCACCAAGCCTGCATTTATTTGATCCAAAATACAGCAAAAACAGTAATATTATGAAATATTTTTACTATTTAAAATAACTGTTTTCTTTTTGAATATATTACAAATATATTGTGATTTATTCCTGTGATTTCAAAGCTATATTTTAGCATCATAACTCCAGCCACATGATCGCTCAGAAATCATTCTAATATTCTGATTTGCTGCTCAAAAACATTTATTATTATGTTGAAAACAAAGGAGTAGATTTTTTCAGAAAGTTCAGAAGAACATCATTTATCTGAAATAGAAATATTTTGTAACATTATAATCTTTTTGATCAATTTAAAGCATTCTTTGTAAATAAAAGTATTATAAATAAAATATAATTGCAGCGCTAAATAAAATTTCTATAATTTCAAATAGAAAGCAGTTATTTTAAATAGTAAAAATAATTCAAAATGTTATTGTTTTTGCTGTATTTTGGATCAAATAAATGCAGGCTTGGTGAGCAGAAGAGAATTATACAAAAAAAAAAACATTAAAAATCTTACTGTTCAAAAACTTTTGACTGGTAGTGTAGGCTGATTATTCTTATAGATTGAAACAAATGTGCTTCAGCCAGAAAAAAGGGTATGAAAAGTGCTCCGAGTTGCTGCAGAAAACAAAAAAATTGAGCAACAACAGAAACACGTTGCTGGAGACGGGCTTATTATTGAAAATGCAAACTGAATCTCTGCCAGCAGGAGGTGCTGTGAGCAGTAGAACTAGCGGTTTCCCCGGTAACGGCTGTAAACAAAGCAGCTCCGCTCATGAACGCTACTTTATCAGAGAAAATGAAAATGTCATTGAAACTTTTCTGAAGACAGTCGGGTCCCTTCAGAGATACATTCATATAAAACACCCGCGCCGCGTTTTGATTGTGAAACGTGCAGTGTTCATGTTTATTCAACGAAGTCAAACGCCGCAAATAAATCAATGTATGGGAAACACTGGTAATCGAAATATCGGAAATGTGTTTAAAAATCATATCACCGTTATTGAAAAAAATTAAATATCGATACATATTGATATTGAATTATTGTCCTGCCCTAGTGTGAGCAGAGTCAGCTAAACTGTCAAAAATCTGATGCAGCATTTACTTAATGCCTCGAATTGACACTTTATTCACTTTCACATTTTGCTTTAATTGCAACAGCCCCTGATGTTTTCTAGATCATTTGAATCACTTTGATTAGTTTTCTTCTTTTTATTATTAGTCAGCATTGTAAGTTTGTTGCTGGTTTATTTCTCTGAAATGTATGTTCTCCAGGGAGAGTTTTCCAGGGAGTTTGATGAGAGCTGCCTGCATGCTCTGCTGGGCTCCATCTCTTCTGACGTCTCCTCACAGGACCTGCGGCTGTGGTTTAAGGGGGTTGTGGTCCCGTTTGTGTGGAGAGCGTTGCCCAGCGGACAGGTATGACTTCAAACACCATGCTTTATGACTGTCTTGAAGACATCACTGACTTTGATTAAACACCAGTTATTGGAAAACAATAGTGCTGTCAGTCAATTAAAAAAAAGCAAATTTTTCTGTAATTTAATCATGATTAATTGCAAATTAATGTAATATATTTATTCTGTCACAATTTCACATTGCATCTCCAAATTAATAAAGAAAAAACATAAAGATGGTATGTTTTAATGTTTAATGGCATCTTTTTAATTAAGAATTTATACTAATAATGCTAATGATGTCTCTATTAAATGCATTTTTCTCTCAGTTTTAGCCATTAATCATAACCATTCAACATTACAGTATAACTGAAAGCCATTCTTTTTAACATGTAATAGGCTTTGAAAAATATAACAATTTATATTAATTTAACAAGTTAAGTAATAATAAGTTAATTAATAATGAATAAGTTAATTTTGACAGGCCTAGAAAAAATTCTTAGTTTGCAAGGTGGATAAGAAAGTGGTTTTGTGCTATAAATAAGCTAATGAAATGCAAACAAATAATTTCAAAAGCAAATAGTTCTTATGTTCTTACTGTAATGTTAAATTCTGTTGTAATTTCTCCTTTTCTTTTTTTTTTTTTTCATTTATGCCCCGCATCGAAGGATGGAGCACTGCTTTTAAAAGAAACTAATCAATAGTGCTATATACTAACACTTTTACATTTTAAATATATGCAGAAAATCCTCGCCAGGTGGTTGGAGCAACGTGCGAGGAATCTGGAGTTAACAGAAAAGGTAGTGAACTCCTATGAGTAGTTTTTCAAAAAAGTATTTTTAATGCAAGGATATTACTTTTCAGAATGAATTTTTCTTATTTTCTAAACACAGGCTAGAAAATAAGCCAGCCATTTGTGACACTTTCTGTGTCTACAGTGTCGTTTGCCATTGTGACAGACATCGATAACAGTCATTGTGTGGCCAGATCTCACTTTAGAAAGTGTATGAATGTCCTGATGCATCCTAGACATGATCAGGTGACCATACTCATGTAATACAGTCATTCTGAACCAACAAGGTAGAGCTTTAAAGAGGTCATGAACTGAGAAACCAAAATTCCCTTTTGACATGTAAGAGGTCACTGTACTGTAAAATCATCCTGTAAGTTTCAGAACTCAACACTTTCTCGTTAGACAGCTTATATTGAAGCCAGTCTGCCAAAACGACAGATTGTGGAATGTGACACTTTATGACGTAATAGTGTGGCTAAACCTCGCCTGCTTCTACATCACTGCCTGCTTAGCCCGGCCACCGATTCTACATCACTGCCTGCTTAGCCCCGCCCACCTAATCTACATCACTGCCTGTTTAGCCCCACCCACCAATTCTACAT